GCCTTGACCAAAGCAAAGCTGTAGCTCTCATACGCTTATCTGGCTTGTCATTTGCAGCTGGCCAGCTTGGCGATTCATTGAACATTTTTACGGATGCGGTTAGCCCAGTTGCACAACATTCTAATTTGTTAGCAAATACTTGTAAGCATTTAGTTCAAGCATTCACAATGGGCTATGCACTTGGGCTTTTCGCTTTGAGCTTTTCTGCGGCTAGCCTGGAACTTGTGCACCGTCTGTCAATTTGGTTTGACAAGAACTGGCAACGCTTCAGTGCGGCCAAAACTCTAATGCAACTCGATTGTTGTTGCTGCTGCTGTTGCTGTTGCTGTTGCCGTTGCTCAGCTATTAAGAGCTCTTAATTCAATTGCAGCCCCAACAAGTTTTCCTTTGCCTTTTGCCACAAATATGGCATTCATTGTGATTTTCCAGAAATATTTTCTCTTGACTTTCGCCTTAAGCTTTGTTTCGAAGGGCTTCACTATACTCAATTAGCCACTCGATTTGGTTTGTTCACTTTTTTCCTTGTCCCTTTTGCACTCTCTCAGCCACTCAGTTTTACTGCCTGCCCTTCTCTGGGGCTCTCTGTGGTTTTACTGGCATCTCACAGTAATGCTTGGAAAAAGTCTTATGCATGCATGCAGTCAATTGACTGGCATTGCCTTTACCTAACCACAACAAAGAACATAAATTAGTCAAGCACAAACTTAAGGAGTGACGAGCTAAGAGTTGCAAATGAAATTCATCTGTTAACTATTTACAGAGAGTGTAGAGAGTAGAGAGTAGAGAGTAGAGAGTAGAGAGTAGAGAGTAGAGAGTAGAGAGTAGAGAGTAGAGAGTAGAGAGTAGAGAGTAGATAGTAGAGAGTAGAGAGTAGAGAGTAGAGAGTAGAGAGTAGAGAGTAGAGAGTAGAGAGTAGAGAGTAGAGAGTAGAGAGTAGAGAGTAGAGAGTAGAGAGTAGAGAGTAGAGAGTAGAGAGTAGAGAGTAGAGAGTAGAGAGTAGAGAGTAGAGAGTAGAGAGTAGAGAGTAGAGAGTAGAGAGTAGAGAGTAGAGAGTAGAGAGTAGAGAGTAGAGAGTAGAGAGTAGAGAGTAGAGAGTAGAGAGTAGAGAGTAGAGAGTAGAGAGTAGAGGTAGAGAGTAGAGAGTAGAGAGTAGAGAGTAGAGAGTAGAGAGTAGAGAGTAGAGAGTAGAGAGTAGAGAGTAGAGAGTAGAGAGTAGAGAGTAGAGAGTAGAGAGTAGAGAGTAGAGAGTAGAGAGTAAGAGTAGAGAGTAGAGAGTAGAGAGTAGAGAGTAGAGAGTAGAGAGTAGAGAGTAGAGAGTAGAGAGTAGAGAGTAGAGAGTAGAGAGTAGAGAGTAGAGAGTAGAGAGTAGAGAGTAGAGAGTAGAGAGTAAAGAGTAGAGAGTAGAGAGTAGAGAGTAGAGAGTAGAGAGTAGAGAGTAGAGAGTAGAGAGTAGAGAGTTTCTGAAATCGTTGCATTGTTTCTTGCCTGTTTAATGATAAAGCTAAGCGACTTTCAGTTAAGGAACAGCCGCACTTCAAGTGCATGTCGTTTTGTTGCCTAACCGTTTGCACCATTAAAACTTGTGCCAATTGCCAAAAGAGAAAAAGAATTTTCCGAAGAAAATTTCAATTAAAATGACGCAACACGACATTTGCCACTGACAGCCAGCAGCAACAGCAGCAGTAGCAGCAACAACTATTACAGGGCGTGACCTCTAACCCGCTCTAACGCTCTCTGACTTCCTGTTCCCACTCGAGCATGTCCAGCTGGCGCCTCAACGTGTTGCTGGGGAGGGGCTAAAGGTGTGCGCTTGTCGTTTAAATAAATTATTTTTCTTCAAGGAAGTGCAATTAAGAAAATGCTTCATAAATTTTTGTAACTTTGTCCAGGACATGGCCAACTTTTGCAACCCTTTGCCGTAGCCCCTCCCCCCAACCCTTCACGCTCCACACTCCACCAAGTTGCAACTCCCAGCCGCTGGCTCGCTCTCATTAGCTTGAAGAGCCACTTGCTGGCATTGGAGCACGTAGATTCAATTAGCTGATCTTAACGGCTCGCATTTCCGGTTCCGCTTATTGCGTGTGGCCAAACAGAAGCAAAGGCAAGAGGAAGGGAAACTAAAATAAAAATTAACTAATCGAATGCACACACCCTGGCTGCGTGGGCTTAGCTGATGGCTAAATATAAATAACGGCTTTAAAAGGAGTGTCCTCTGGCCGGTCAGTGTCTACTCTGCCCAACGTTCTCAGTCCTGCCAAATTGAGTCGTTCTGAATTTAACTCAACCACCCACACACACACACACACACACTCACCCGCACACACATAAATTTATCGACTTTTTCCATAGCCAACGCTCTCGCTCCGCGCTGCTCACTAAGTAAATATCCTTGGGCGCACAGCTTGATAGGGTTGCTTATTTCATTGTATGTGATGTGCTTCCTATGGCTTTGCCACAAATTGTAATCAAATTTAATTGGTCCTGTGTCGCAACTCGCAACTCGCAGCTCAACCCCCTTCCCCCAGCTCTGGCCGCCCCTGGGCAACTTGTGTGGCTACCAAGAAAGGCGCGGAAAACTGTGCCAAGCTGTTTTTCCTTGGCCCCAACTGCTATCATTTGTTTGTCTCTTGTGTTGCGCGTGTCCTTTGGGCAGGCTCCAGTTCCAGTTTTAGTTATCGTTCCCGCACCCCTTCCCATTCCTCCTCATGTTCCAGTTGGTTGACCAGTTGCGAGCCACTTAAATGAAATGCTTGTTAACTTAATAGAACTACATCCTGCCTCAAATTCGTAGCTCTCCATCTGCCCCACCCTTTCCATTACTGGCTCTTTATTTATTAATGATGGGCTCTACTTTATACACATATACCATATAGATGTCCGTCTGTCTGTCGGGGTGTGGGTTCTTTTCTTTCTTTCTGTTTTTTTTTTCTTTGTTTTGTCTGTTTGTTCTCCCTGCTCATTATGCCATCCATATCTGAGGGGCAGGCACATGGCATCAAATATTCAAGAACTTAAATACTTAGCCCTGCCATCGAAATTAGTAAAGTATTTGCGTCTTCACTCAGTTTTTCCTTTCATTTTAAAGGCAGTCCTAGTGTTTGCTTGGCTTGATGGCATGCGATCATTAGCAAAGTTTCTCCTAACGATATCATTCTTCCAGCATGACCAAAGCTGGTATTAGCAACTATTCTTAGCTACGCTGCATATCCTTTGACGGCCAAGACCTGACGTCATCTGCATTTACCTTGACTTAGCCGGACAAATCCTTGAAGTTTTCCTTGCTCTTTGCCGGTTGAAGTACAGCGAGCATTAGCTGAACTAATCTATTGATTAAAATAGAGTGCTGCACAGATTCAGAATGTGCGCTCAAATCGTCCTGAATAATGTAGCAGGCTGAAGCAGACAACTTACACTACTCATCAATCAATCAATCAACTTTGATAATTAAAATGTCTTTCAGTCATACAAACAGTTTTTTTTTTGCTTTTCTGACTTGCGCAGCGTAGGCCTCTTATAAATATTTATAGAACATGTGTCTGTGTCTGTGTGTGTGTGAGTGTGTGTGTGTGTGTGTGTGTGTGTGTGTGTGTGTGTGTGTGTGTGTGTGTGTGTGTGTGTGTGTACTTCGCTTAAATTAAAAGCTCAACAGCCAAATTGAAGCACGTTCGTTGACGTTAATTTGTCGTGCCTCACATGAGTAATTGCATAGGTATGTGTGCGTGTGTGTGCGTAGGTATGTGTGCGTGTGTGTAGTTACTTTTGTTTGCAGCACATTGCCAAGACATCGGCCATAGACAACGTCAACGACAACGACAACGGCAACGACAACGACAACGACATCGACATCATTAGGTCGCATTAGTTTACATGTCGAGCAGTCGACATTACCATGCTCCATTTCCCATTTCCCATTTTTCATTTTCCATTTCCCACTTCCCATTTTCCATCTCTATTCTTGATTCCATCTGCTGTTCTCTCAACCTCTCTCGCCAATGTTTAATTGCATTGCTAAGCATTAAAAGGAATAAATGATTTTTTTTTGTTTTTGTTCTGATTGATTGGTTTGTAATTGATTGACTGATTGACTAGCTGTTGCTAACTGTGTGTAAGTGCTTTTAGCTCTGCTTACAAATTGCAATAGGCTTATGCTAATGGAATTGACTAGATTGCTTGACAGGCGCTAGCTGCGAGAGAAATATGTGAAATGATTGAGCGTGATTGAATGCCAACGTGAATGAGCAACACTTATTTAAAGTGAATAGATGTAAGCTTTGGCTTTTAAAGTTGACTGGCTTACACTAGTGATTGAGCTTGATTGATGTTGATTGAAATGCATGCGCCTCAGTCATGATGTAAGGCAGCTGCCATTGCAGTTGCGGCAACATTTATGGAACTCATTATGCAACATGGCCCAGATAAATGCGTGTGGCAGCTGGCGCCAAAGAACATAAATTTCATGTGTTATCGATAAACGATAGCCGTCATCCATTGGCCATCGGCCATCGATGGCTAGCAAAATGCAAACGTGTTAACAACGCGCATTTTCTGTCCGCACGAAAGAGTTAGATGGTGTGCATATGTGTGTGTGTGTGGGAGCAAGATGGCAACAGAATTGATTTATGGGCGAGTGCATATTAATATGGCGTTAAAATATGATGCCAAAAATTTATGTGTGTGAAAAAAGAAACGAAAATAGCAGCGCCTGCAGCATACAGCAGCTGCTGGAGCCACTGAGCCACAAGGACAGCACCACACTAAACATTATTGCCAGCGGCTGCCGCTGCTGCTGCTGCTGCTCGCCCAAAGGAGCATCAGATTTATGGCGTTAAATTTAGCAGTCATGCGATTTATGGGGCCGGGTCGCACATTTGCGTTCCAGCTAGCAAATCGCAGCCAAAAACCACAAAAGGACTAACCAAAAAATGTCTCACTCACACACTCTCTCTCTCTCTCTTTCTTCCTTTCTCTTTCTCGATTTTGGCGTTGACTGCGTCACGCAGCAGTCAGTTCGATGAAACCGAACATGGACAGCTCGAATTGTATCCTAGTCCAAGATGTCAAATCGCAGCCGCACGATCTGCGCGGCGGCGCTGGCGGCAAAGGTGGCGACAACAAGGGGCAAGCAGGTGGCAGCAGTGCCACCGCCTATCCTACAGAGGAATCGATACAGACCAGCACCTCGGATCATGCAGGCAACAATGGTGGGGCAGCGGCAGCAGCTGGCGGCGCCACTGGCATACAGCAGCAACTGTTGCTGCAGCAGCAGCAGCCACATGCCATCAATCAGCCGCTGACGCCGTTGGACGCGACCAATACCCAGCTGCAGGATCAACTGACCTATGGCGGTGCAGCCGGCGGCTTGGGCCAGCAGCAACATAATCTGCTGCTGCAGCAGGCGGGTCATCATCATCCGGCGTTGCAGCAGCAGCAGGGCGTCGGGCTGAGCGGCGGCCAGTGGCCACAGGTGGTTGAGCTGAAGGACTTCAATGAGCTATACCATGCCAATATACCGGCCTATCAGTTCTGGACACTCGAGTTTCGCAACAAGCATCCGGCCTTCATTCGGTTCAACTTCACGCTGCCATGGGGCGCTCATTTCGCAGTCTATTCGCGCCGCAATGTGGCTCCGTCGGTGACGCAGCATGATTTTGTGGAGTTCATCAAGGGCGGACGACTCGATAGCCATTTGCGACATCGTCGTGGCGCCAGCAACATGACCCACAATGCCAAGGATCTGGGACTGATTGGTGTTTACGAAAAGGAAATGCAAATCGAAATGGAAAAGGAAAAGGAAAAGGAAAATGAAAAGCAACAACAGCAATTGCAACTGCGACGTCGTCGACGCAGCAGCAGCTCCGATGAGGATTTCGAACTGGATCAGGATCATGTCGAGGATGAGTTAAACGATAGCAGCGATGAGTCACCAGCTGGCCTAGACTCTGGCGAATACTTCGAAGGCGGCACGCTTCAGGACATTGCCGAGCAGCAAAGGCGACGAGATAAGATGGGCTCAGTGGCACATGCGCTGCACAAACGGTCCGCCGCCGATGGTGGTGCTGGTGGCTTGCCCGCTCTCGATATGGACGCCATGACTGTGAATGTATCGTTGCTGCAATATCTGGACACTGGCCTGTGGTTCATATCCGTTTACAATGATGAACTGGTCGCCCATTCCGTTTCGCTGCTCGCCGAGGAGGCCGAAGGCGTCAGCACCACCTGCCCCAACGATTGTTCGGGCCGTGGCAGCTGCTATCTGGGCAAGTGCGATTGCATCGATGGCTATCAAGGCGTGGACTGTTCCAAAAGTAAGTACAACTGCCCATCTACCATCCCACCAGACCCATGTCCACTCTGCAGCTGCAATTTAAATTAAAAACTTACGCCAAAGTTGAGCTGTCAGCATCACCTGCTTCTGTTTGTTTTTGGCACCCCAGCCAGACCCGGCGAAAGCTGAAACTCAAATCCACTTGCCGTGCGACCCTCAGCGCACATAGCTGTCCGTTTGCTTAGCTCGCACCTTGGTGCACGCTGCTAGTTCTATGGTTCAAAATAACATATCGATAAATGAATCGATAACAATTTTGAACAAAGCATTCCAAGTAATAAAAAGTTTCGATAAATCATTGACTGGCAGTTGATATCTATAACATTCTGTAAGTGTAGATCAGCTTATACAATTATGTATGCTATCGATAAATATTTCAATACGTTGATATCGATAATTTCGTGCGTTTGAGGAGAGTTGGCAACGATAACTTCATAAAAGATATACATTTCTGCTGACATCTTTCAGTGCATATATAAATTTGATATATTATCCATATATGTTATCGATAACACTTTTTATACATCTCCTTTAATGAAAACAACTTGCAACAAACTAACGAACAGCTGTTAAACTGTTAGATGTTTATTGTAACTCGTCAGCTTCAGAGTTAAAATCGAAATTTAAATGTGTTATCGATAAACGATAGTTCTCATTACAAACTTTTCTCAAACATACTGATTTTGACTGTTTGCCATGAATTGACAAATCAAAATGTAATATCCAATACATTAGAACGATAAATCGTTATTCGATAAATCGATAACACGCGTTAAACGTAACACAATTTACAGCTCTTATTTTTATAGCTCCGCAGTCTTTGCCTTTTTAATATCAAATTAAAATTACAATTGAATTTTGTTGGCTTTTCCCGACCTTTAACCGTTTTCGTTCTTATTGCTTTTGCTCCACTGTGCCGTAAAGTATTTTTATTATTTATTTACAGTGCGCTCTGCGTCCTTTTTTCTTTGCCTTGTCTGACACTTTTCAATACCAATTTTCGTTTTACTTCAGTTCGTCTGTCTCTCACTCTCTCTCCCTCTCTCTCTTTATCTATCCCTCTTTAATATTTGGTCGACTTGACTCTTTGCAGGCGTTTGTCCAGTACTCTGCTCGGCACATGGGCACTATGGCGGCGGCGTCTGCCATTGCGAGGACGGCTGGAAGGGTGCCGAGTGCGACATACCCGTGGGCGAGTGCGAGGTGCCCAATTGCTCCAGCCACGGCCGCTGCATCGAGGGCGAGTGCCACTGCGAGCGCGGCTGGAAGGGACCCTACTGCGATCAACGTAAGTGTCAAGGCAAAAACAAAACAAAAACCCCGCCACTCTCTGTCTGTGTGTTAGAATGTCTATGCCTGTGTGTGTGTGTGTGTGTGTGTGTATCTGCTGCTGCTGACTTGGCATAAAAATGCTAAAATTATTTATTTGCCTTGTTTGCAATTTTCGGGAACTGTTTTCGGTCCCAGGCCTTTTGCCCAATGTTGACTTTGGGCTCCGATAAGGCACCAGCTACCACTATTTTCGGTACGGGCGAACGATGGGCGGGGCAGCGGCAGGGGCGTGTCCTGGTGACGCCAAAATATTTCAGTTATTATGCCGCCCCAACGTTTAGTTCGTGTCCGTGTGCCTTCTGCGTGTGTATGTGGATGTGTTTTATTTTTGGTGGTCTTTAAATTGCAGCAAGGGCAACTTTTGTGGGCCTCGGGGAGATGGGCGGCGGGTCAAAGGCCTCTGGCAGCGTCAATTAAAGCACTTGACTCTCACTTGGCTCTTTAACGCTCGCTTCAGCAGCTGCTGCCCCAACAACTGACAAAGTAACAGAAACGAGCAAAAAATTGGAAGTGCATAAAATATGCAGCACCCACACACACACACACAGACGCACCACAAACATGTGTACATGTATATACCACTGACTGGCTGAATGCCTGTACATGTGATTGCTTGTTGCCACTCCATGGTGTGCGTGTGTGTGAACTGGACCCTTGGCATACAAAACAAGCGAACAACAAACAGAACAAACAACAACAGCAACAACAACGACTACAAAGCAAACATAAGACGTATAGAATCGAATTTATATGTCGAAAGCATATTTCACATACAAAACGCTCAACAAGCCAAGACCTAGAAGTTCAAGAAGAACAAGAAAATGAAGAAGAAGAAGCAGAAGCAACAAGAAAAAAAGTGTGTAGAAAAAGCTAAGGCAGCAGCGGCAACAGAAGTGGGACACCAAGCCAAAGAAAAGAAGGTATTAGAAAAATTATAGAGTATCTCGCGCTGAGTTGAGAAGAACTTGAAGAGCTTGGCTGCAAAACTTAGTAGAATCTCTATATTATTAAACATATAGAAATTATACAGTTATACTAGAAGCAATTGGAAATCAATGAGATAATCATAATAATTTATCAAAATTTATATTTAGATTTAAGAGCAAAAAATATATATAAAAATATATTTTATATTATATATTTTATATTTTATATTTTATATTTTATATTTTATATTTTATATTTTATATTTTATATTTTATATTTTATATTTTATATTTTATATTTTATATTTTATATTTATCTTTTATTTTATATTTCTATTTTATATTTTATATTTTATATTTTATATTTTATATTTTATATTTTATCTTTTATATTTATATTTTTATCTTTTATATTTTATATTTCTCTTTTCTCTTTTATCTTTTCATCTTTTCTCTTTTCTCTTTTCTCTTTTTCTCTTTCTCTTTCTCTTTCTCTTTTTCTTTTCTCTTTCTCTTTTCTCTTTTCTCTTTTCTCTTTCTCTATTCTCTTTCTCTTTCCTTTTCTCTTTTTCTCTTTTCTCTTTTCTCTTTTCTCTTTGTCAGCTTTTCTTCTTTTATCTTTTCTCTTTTCTCTTTCTCTTTTATCTTTTCTCTTTTCTCTTTTAATCTTTTTCATCTTTTCTCTTTTCTCTTTTCTATTTATTATATTTGATACAAATCTAAATTCATCAACTAAAGTGAAGAGCTTCGAGTGAGGGCAGCAATAGCTTGAGGCAGGCAAAGTAAAGCGTAGAAGACGCTGACGACAGCAGAGGCAAAGGCAGAAAAATAGAGAGAGACAGTTAGAACAAGAAAAAGAGAGAGAGAGAGAGATAGAGGGAGAGAGTAAAACAAAATTGCAACAACTGTGCAAAATTACCAAGTTGAACTAAACTGGAATTTCATTTTAATGACCACTTTCGTACGTGTCCAACATACTAATCATGTCATGTGTGCTAGTGTGTGTGTGTGTGTGACCTGACCCCGAAATTGGTGTGTAGTAAGTGTCTGTGTGTGTGCGGGCGACTAACGGGCTAGCGGCATGTATTGCCAGCGGTTCGTGACGGGCTTTTGTTTTGCCAAGACTGTTACGAGGTAAACCCTCCCACACACGCACACACACACACGTATCCTGCTACACATTGGGTGTATCTGTGCACATATTGTATGCTACATTTTTTTTTATATATTTGTATATGTATATGTATATGTATATGTATATGTATTTGTATTTGTATTTGTATATGCTTTGCGACTAACAAAAACCCATTTTGTATTCTTCTCTCTTCCTCTTGGAAACGTCCCAACAACATCGAATCCGTTCCTCCGGCTGCTGCTCTGACATCGTGGCGTGCATTTTGGAATCGTGCAGATGATTGCCTCGATCCATTGTGCTCCGGCCATGGCACCTGCGTGGCCGGGCAATGCTATTGCAAGGCCGGCTGGCAGGGCGAGGACTGCGGCACCATTGATCAGCAGGTGTATCAATGCCTGCCCGGCTGCTCCGAGCACGGCACCTACGACCTGGAGACGGGACAATGCGTCTGCGAGCGCCACTGGACGGGACCAGATTGTTCGCAAGGTGAGTGCAGCATATGAAGAACGCCCGGCGACCCAGACCCATCCATACACACCTCATACAAATAACCGGAATAACAATTGCACTCTGTGTTTCGCTCAGTGCATGTGTGTGCCTGTGTGTGTGTATGTTATTTGTATATTGTTTGCGGGTGTTACGTGTGTGTGCTATTTGTTGTTTTTCCCTTTTTTTCATTGTTTTGTTTTGCTTGTTGTTTTCCGGTGTCGTTCCGAACAACAAGCTGCTTACAAATGATTCTTCAGTTCGAGCATTGAATTCAAATGAGAACTGAGAAGTGTTTGAAGCTGGGCGTGGCGCATTTAACATGTGTGATAAGCTTAGTCGAGATTTCACTTTAATTTTCATAGTTTTTCCAAAAAGGAAATGGCGAAACTATAAATGCGTGCTATAAAAAATTAAACTTGACTTGATTTAGATCTCATAGATACTCAAAGCTGCTAAAAACTAAGCCTAAATATCTATGTCGAAAGCTTGCCTATCGAAGCTCGAAATATTTGAATAAAATCAGAGTAAAATCATGTAAATTTGCAGCTGGGCTCTTAGCTAAGCTTTAAAGCTTCAACAAAGGCTAGAAGCAGAGGGGTTTAACCTGCTAATTAATACTTGTCCATAGTTTGGCTTGAGCTGGCAATCAACCGCAGCTTTCAAGTAACTCGCAATAAAAGCCAAAAGCACTAGGACATAACTTGTTAACCAATACTCGCCCATAGAGAATATATATATATATATATATGTATATATTTATATATACATGTATATATAAAACATTTATTAGAATCTCTGTGATCATATCATGTAGTACTAAAACCGTATAAGGGCATACCTTTGAGCTGGCAGCTCAATGAAATGCGCCGTTCCAAGTGCTCAGGGCTTATGCTGCATGGCTGTAAAGCAAGTTGGCCAAAACGAACAATGGCAATGTGGGTGGCTCGATGTGAGTCATAAAAGCAGATGGCAACTAATGCAGTTATTATATGGGGCCAGGGCGGCGGCATGATGAAGCATTGCGTATGCTTACACATAATGATGGTTTATCGCATGGACCGAATCCAAATTAGATGATGGCCATAAAGCCGAGCCTTCAATTAGGACTACGCCCATACCCCGCCAACCCCCCCCCCCCCTCCCACCAGAAAAAAGCCAAAAAAATAAAACCAACAGGCCAAAAAGTCAGCCGACAACAACAAATTTACCGATTACTACAGCAACAAGAACGAAGCGCTGAACGCCCCGGGTCCATAATCATTTCGAAGGATGGTGGCCCAATAAAACATGCAGCTTACGATGTAACCACTCGCAAACTGAAGTTGGACACGGCGACAAAGAGCAGAGAGGCGCCAAGAGTAGGGTCCAGGAGACGAGTGGAGCGGGTAGGCTGTCTGCTGGGCAGGGCATGGTGCAAAAGGGCAAAAGGACTCGCGTCTGTGGGCACGCACGCCTAATTTGCTTAACTTTTTAGCACCGACAGGCGGCAAACACGACCACGCCCAGTCAGGTGGCGCGTAGCCAGGGAGGGAGCAGTGGGCGTAATGAAGCAGAGCTTCATAAAAATTCATTATTTATTTAATACGCAGGTTCGCCTGGGCAAATAAAATAAATTTACGCCTGCGACGCTGGCAAAGAACAAAAGTCAACGTCGCCCAGTTGGGCTGGGGGCATTGTGTGGTGGTGTGGTGCGGTGGTGGGGTGCCCGCTTGTTGCCACGTAAATGTTACATTTATAATGTTGTTTTTATGGTTCACTCGCTGGGGCCACATTTTACAGCCATAAGCCACGGGCAGCGAGTGCCAAGTGCGAAGTGTAACGAGTAGAAATATCTCGTTGCCATGGGCGGGGGTGTGTGTGCGTGGGGTAGGGGGTAGGGGGGAGGTCACGTTGTGCAGCACTTTAATGAATTTAAATGCACATATGTACAAATATTATAACCAGACTTGGACTTGGACTTGGACCCTTGCCATTTCATTTCATTTCATTTCATTTCATTTATATATTGAATTTACTTAACAACTTCTCTCTCTTTTCCTCCTCTACAGCTGTTTGCAGCTTGGACTGCGGCCGCAATGGCGTTTGCGAGTCGGGCAAATGTCGCTGTAACATCGGCTGGACGGGCAATCTATGCGATCAGCTGCCCTGCGATGCCCGCTGCTCGGAGCATGGACAATGCAAGAACGGCACCTGCGTCTGCTCCCAGGGCTGGAACGGAAGACACTGCACGCTGCGTAAGTATTGAAACAATTGAGCTAAGATAAGATGATCTTGTGACGGTCAAAGGACCAACAGCTAGCTCAGTGCATGCCTGAACAACTGCAGTCAGCTGATGGAGACTTGAACTCTGTCTGGCCAGGAACAGGCTCGACGTGCAGCTAAATGAATTATTTATGTGCGGCTTGTCTTACAGCGCTCTCGGCTGTAGCATTTGAAAACCGAGCTCGCTTGTAGCACTGGCCATGTCTTCATGTTGCATTGCGGTCAGCTGCTGGACAGTTGAGCTGTTTGGGCAAAACCGCTGGAACTTCCAGGCTCTGGCTTGACCTCAACGGCAATTGCAGCTGCAGCTGTTGACCATTTACAACGAATGCTCAATCGATTAGCGATGCGCCAATACGAAACAAAAACGCGTAGCAACCGCAGCTGACATTTCCACATTTCACATTGAGTTCGCAGCAGCAGCAGCAGCAACAATTTTGTCGCGTTCTGTCGCAATAGCGCCAAGCCAACCAAAAACATTGCGACATTACAGTTACGCTATCTGTGTGCGACAAGTCCTGCTCTCCCTCTCTCCCTCTCTCTCTCCCTCTCTTTGCTGATATTGGCTGCAAGTCAGAGCTGTGGCTGTTGCTGTTGCTTTTGCTGTTGTTGCTCTTGCTTTTTATCAATATTTTTTGCACTTGCGCCAAAGTATTTTGTACATGTTTACGCCATTTGGCCGAGAGAACTGTAAAAGTGTGCCCCTCCTGCCCCCAGCACTGCTGTGTGTGTGTGTGTGTGTGCTGAAGGGGCGTGACAGCTGCCTTAACGCTCTGCACTTGACAGTTTTGCCATCCTGATTTAACCAAGCAGCTGAACAACTTTTGCGCCGTTTTTCATTCCTTTTGGGTTTATTTTGGCAACTGTCAATTAAAGTGGCCAACAGTCCCGCATTGGGTGGCTCGCTGGTTGCAGTGCAGCATGATAAGTAGCTATCGATTGACAGTGATTAAAACTTTAAAAACAAACAGTCATGTTACAAAAACATTTGCTGTGTGTAGAAACCAAGCTCTGTGTGTGTGTGTGTGTGGGAGCCCCTGGCGACGGCGACGGTGACGACGCGGTTCAGGCATGCATGTAATGGCATTACACATAGTTCTGTCTCAAAGGGGGCCATGTCTACGTATGTTGCCTGTCTATGGTTATCTCACTCGCACTATTACGCTCTCTCTCTCTCTCTCTCTCTCTCTCTCTGTCTGTCTGTATGTTTGTGTGTGTATTACATTTCGTTGACGTGTGCAAAACCAATAAAACTTCCGACGTCATTTCACTCAGGCCCAAGCAAAAGACACTTATCCCAGCCCCTTTGCCCCACACTCGGTCGGCCCCGTCCCTTCGCCCACTTCTGTCCATATACACCGCTGGCTGCTTGGAAGCCGCCATGTCGAACGCCATTCCCAATGGGAACTTCCTCTGACAACATACGGCCAAAAACGTTTTGAATCGATTCAAGTGTTGCAGCAGCGCTTCGCAGGGCGGCTGCGGCGCCAAAGGGGGGCATTTGGGGCATTTTTTAGTGGAGTGGTAGCTTAGACGTGCGAGTCACGCTTGCACAAGCACAAAGTGCCACCCAATATCCTGGCACACACACACACACACACACGTACGCTAACAAATACATGCATGTCTGCTTGTATTTTTAGAAAGTACTTAACGACTTTGCCGTCCGTCTCGCTCTGGCGCACTCTATCTGCCTCGCTCTAGCACTTCGCATACGCGACACACACACAATGCGGTAAAGTTTATTGAATTTGAGCAGAGATTTGTAACAAATTACACGACTGCAATCCCGAAATCTAGATACATTTTTATGTCTCTCCATCTGGAGGCCCCACAGCGCCCACACTCACTTGGGGACTTCGGCTACTAGGTGACATCTAATGTGGGCAAAGTTTCCAAATAGTCGTCGACATTTTATGCCGCACTTACGTTAAGTTATGTCGCATTTTCTCGCTATTTTTTTAGTTAAGCTTTTTTATTATTAAAAGTCGGCGCCGAGATTTTACTATCAGCCATGGAAAATTGTAAAAAATTTCGTATATAACTCATACTGTGGCGCGATATGTGATTAGAACTATAAAACTATGGCCGTAAAGGCAGCTGCCTGCTATAGTTTTATTAGCTGCTGAGAAGAGTTAAGATTGCATTTAGTTAAGTGCTCTAGATTTCTCTAGAGAGCTGAATTATAGTCGACGAACTTCCTACTTAAAAAACCATAATTCTGCCAACTTTCACGCTAAACATATGTCAAGCAGCCAAGTTATTTAAGTTTGTGCGGGTTTGCTTGGTGGAAAATTCTTTGACTTATATAAAATTACGCTCTGCTAACGTAAGACATGACGCATGCTTAGTTATAGCTCAATAGCTGCTAGAACAATTGAGTTACTTGAGGCTGTTAGGGTTTGCTCGATGGGAAATTCCTTTACTTATATGAAACTACGCTCTGCCAACCTAAGACATGGCGCATGCTAAGCTACAGCTCAGTAGATGCTAGAACAGTCGAGTTACTTGAGGTACGTTGAGTTTGGTTAGCTGAAAGTCCCAATAGATTCCTTAGTACTTGAAGCATCCTATGTTGCAGCTGGAACATATTGGCAGCTATCGAGTTACTTGAGGCTAATCTAAGTTTTGCTAATGGCATTTGCTTTGGCATTGCAGTGGATTTGCGTGTTTCGTGCTGGCTGAAACTATGCAACTTTTTGACAGATTTCTGCATGTGGTTAACTTAGCATAATACCAATACACACACACGCTCACACACAAACACACACGTACACACACTTGCCTGCGAGAATTCTCATGTAAATTGTTTGTGCAAAGGCAGCGTCAGCAGACATCGTTCAAATATTGGCAGCAACACTTGACGTTATTGCCAATATGTGTAGTGTACAAACACACATACGCACACACACAACTGGCTGCGTGTGTGTGTGTGTGTGTGCGAGTCGTAAACAGGAAGGCAGTTACGACAAGGAAGTCATTTTATGCGCCGCAAACTTTTTAACATACCGGAAGTTGAGTTAGCGTCGAGGTTACCCATTTTGCAAATGACACATGTCAAGTGACATTAACTTTGCGTCAAATGCTCAAATGCTGCCATGTCATTGTTGTTGTTGCTGCTGCTGCTGTCGTGGTACAAACAAATAAACCCCAATCCAAGCCAAGCCAAACAGGCCCATCAACGGTGGCATCTATCGTTACGTTTCGTTTGCTTTTTATGTTTACTGTTTTGTAGATTTCTCCACATTTCGTTTATGATGTTGTGTATGTGCGTGCGAAGGGCACTTTTGCCTTGTCCCCGGCTCCCGTTCCGCCCTGCTTATGCCTGTCCAAGTCTCAGCCCCAAAATCTCAAGCTCCAGCCCGAATGATATCCTTCACCCGCTTCACCCGCTCTCCACTCACGACGCACTTGAGCGCGCCTTGAAGAGCCAAACATTAACATTATTTTTATATTAATGCTCTTCACTCGCAGCACGTATGAAATAAAAAATAATCAACAACAAAATGTCAAGCACTCGCAGTACACAAACTACTCGCGTTGTTACTTTAAGCGCATCATTAAATTTTAATCGCTTCAATTCGCTGCAATTCGTACGCTTTTCACATTTACAACTCCAACGAGTTTACTCGTTACTTTGTGAAGCCTCGCTCCATTCGCTGACGTCTCTCGAGCGATTCAATGCTACGAATGGCGCAGGCTTAGCGCTCTTCAGCTGTTTTTAGAGCAGTTGAATTCTCTCGCTAGGTTGAATCTTTTGTATTTCTCGCTATCTTTTATTTGCTGCTCTTTCGCTTCTTTCTGTTGCTTACTAGTTGTTAGACGGCTGTCTCTCTCTTTCTCTCTCTTTCCTTTGCCTCTCTTTACACTCTGACATATTCGATGATAGACTTTTTGCCCGGTTTCTTTTTCTCTGCTCACTCAGCTCTCCCTCTCCTCCCTCTCTCCCTCTCTGCTTCTCCCTCGCCTTGCTCCCTACATTTTTCTCCTTTGATTTCTGTCTTTTTTCTGGCATTCTCGCTGTTACTTCTCTCTCTTTCCTTGTCACAACTCTGGCATACTCGCTGAGAGAGTTTTTCTCTGTTTCTCTCTCCCCTTTCTCTATTTGTTCTCTATTTGCTCTCATGCCTTTTCTCTCTATCTGTCTGACATACTCGCTGATATGCTAACCTCTCTTTCTCTCTCTCTCTTTAAGCTGGTTGCGAGAACGGCTGCTCACGTCATGGTCAGTGCACTCTGGAGAATGGTGAATATCGCTGCGATTGTATTGAAGGCTGGGCTGGCAGCGACTGCTCCATAGCCTTGGAAATGAACTGTAAGGACAACATTGACAACGATGGCGGTAAGTAGACTCAATTGAAGACATGCGAAACGAATGTGTGTGAGCAACTCTATCCCTGTGTAGATGGCATGACGGACTGCTCAGATAGCGAATGCTGCTCGCATCCAGCCTGCTCCGAGCACATTATGTGTCTCTCGTCCAATGATCCCGTCGAAGTGCTGCTGCGCAAGCAGCCGCCCTCGGTGACGGCGTCGTTCTATCAGCGCGTCAAGTTTCTGATCGAGGAGAATTCGGTTCAGTCATATGCCCATATGGATGAGTACAGCGAGAAGTAAGTACAATGCCAAAATCTATATTAGCTGTTATATCGGGGCCCTTTATATCCATATATGCTGTATTACTTCCTAGTGCGCAGTTTAGGTCAACAATATATCGAATGGATGAGGCTTATATATATTGAGCAATTGTTTAATAATTTTTACTTTACGTCTTATCGATTTATCGATTTATCGACTTTCTGATTTACATATTCAGTTACGATACTTGATTTGTTGTTCAGTTTCATTTCGTTATTATCGATTAGCAATTGTTGTTCCGTGACATTGGAATAAGATGAATAAAATGATAATGATGATGATAATGATGATGATGATGATGAAGTCGGATGTGTGTTAAGCGTATATAATACTATATACTCTATGCTCGTATACATAAATGTACCTGTAAATCATATTATATATAAACAACATCTATATATACATAAAGACCTGCATATATTTATATAATAACTGTACATTCATGTATGCACCACAGAGACGAGTTTCGGATCGTGAGATCCGTTTCCGATTTTCATTTAGCCATTATATATCGCTGCCTAATCTTACGTTTTGTGGTACTGCATCAACGAAGAGAAAAAGCTCAAATTTTCTATAATATTTTATCATTGTTTTTGTGTTTGTTTTTGTTTTCGTTCGAAAATCTTACATTTACATTGTGTATATACATATATGTGCGTATACATGTCGGTTGACATGTGTATATACATATATATCTATATATATTTATATAACTAGATATATATTTGATTTGTACTTTATGCTTTCACAAAAGTTGTTTAATCCTCTACAAATGAAAATTGTTATTGAAACTTGTTTACATATGTTTTCAAACTTTCAACTAAACACATTCAAAAGTAGTCTCAACAAATCGAAAAAAAAAAAATTAAGAAAAAAAATATATACCAAAAAAAAATACCAAAAAAATGCAAAAAAAAATTCAAAATACCCGCAATCACATTCCCACAATCCCTTACGCCTCTCTCCCCTCAATGAGTCTATCATTTATGCGTTGGACGTGCTACAAACAAACCTAAAAAAACAACAAGAAATAAGAAAAAAGAAAAAGAAGAAAAGAAAAAAGATATTTGATCATTTTCAAAAGAGAAAACAGAAAGAAAAAAAATGTTGAATTAACGTTTACGTTTTTTCGTCTCATTCTTCTTGTGCTTGAGTTCTATTATTTCCACCTTATGAGTTCCCTAAGTTGCTCTGGCCTTAACAAAAAAAAAAACCAAAATACCAAAAAATGCCGATTTGGAAAAGAAAATACCAAATGTCGCCTGGCGCGCCAAAATTTCTCCTAGTTTGAGCTTTTTCTTTTCTTGCCTGCCTCAAAAGAAGAAGAAGGTACTTCAAAAAAAAAAAAAAAAAAAAAAAAAACCAAAGCGCAAAATAAATTTTTGTAATTTTTTAAATTTAGTATTTCTTTAAACAGCTCATGAGTTACAATTTTTTACTTTCGAAGCTCTTGATTTTCCATTGTTTTTACGAAACTCTACGTTTTGTCTATTATAATACGAATGGTCCATCCAAAATAAAATAAAAAACTGTTTTTCAAGAAATCCAAAGCGAAAATAATGATAGCACTTCATTGAGTATGTGTGTTGTCTAGTGTTTTACCTCCTTGTGTTCGTCTAACCCCAAAAAAAAAAAAAACCAAAAAAAAAAATACTATATATGATGACAATGAAATATACTAAAAATACAAACGTTCGTTTTAAACAGTGCAACAATCATGATAACACACGATGAGTACGATGATTGTCTAGCGATATATACATATACAAGGCACACATATATATATATATATACATATATACATATATACATATATATATATATATATATCTATATATATGGTCGTGTGTGTATTTGATTTCCCAGGATATATTTAGGTGTTAACCCATACATAGAGAGAGAGCTGAACTAAACTTGGTCGTAACATAATATTACATATGTATATTTATATATATATATAAACTATGTATATATATATATATACTATATATTTACCAGTTTACATTGAGTTCTGTCTTTTGATCTCATTTGCACTTGGTTCTCCAGAGGTTTCGCCTCACAGTGAACTAGTTCTTTTGTTTCGATCATTTGTTAAGTAAATTGATTCTGTATAGAGTTGAGCTAACTTCTGCTCGCAGCGATGCGGGTGAGAAATTATGTTTAATTTGCTTGGGTTCGGTTCGTATCGTATTTAGTTTGCTCTACGTTCTTCTTTTTGTTTTTTTTTTTTTTTTTTTTTTTTGTATTTTTGTTGATGTTTCTGGAACTATATTCGATAAATGTATGCGAAATGCGAGAACCAAACAAGTTGCCACGGTCAAATAGTCGAAAGTGTACTTTTTTGTTGTTGTTTTTTATTTTTTGATATTGTGATTGTGACTCAAAAGACAACTGAAAGAAAATAACAATCAGATGGAATTTATTTATATTTAGTTATCAAACAAGGAAATTACAAAACATATATATATATATATATATATATATTTATATATATATTAAATCCAATTTGACTGTGTGTGTATCGATCGATTTATTCGTTTTTAATTTGGATTCTCATTTCTCGTAACTGTGTGTGTCTAAAGCGAATTGATTTTGTTGGTTTTCTTGAAAGTACTCCTTATGATTTGTAAGTAATATTAACATACGATATCTTAAGTTTCACATTTAACCAACTAACCATATACTAAAAATGAATATCAAAACGAATCGCTGAAATCAAACAATCAAACCCCCCCTCAAAAGAAGCCCAAAGATGCCCAAACGCTATCTCACGCATAGAAAGAGAAACGAAAAAATACCAGATGTTAAATACCAAATTAAGTGTGTTTTGTCAAATGTGTTTTATGCTTTAATTTTAACGTGTAACGTTTAATGTATTTATTATTTCGATTAAACAATTGCTTTAGTTCCAAGCTAAGCTAAAGTCTTCTAGGTATGTCTCCTACACATATATCGCTCAGCGATAAAAAAAATGAGTATATATCTTAGAAAAAATACAAAAAATATCTCAACTTTGATTCAATTCGTTAACGAAAAGCATTTTTGTCTTTTAATTTCTTTTTTATTGTCCTGTCAATTAATTGTGTACTGTCCTACTCTGTTGCTGTGGCTCGATACCTTCATGTTGTGTGCTAAAACCAAAAAAAAAAATCCAAATCAATCAAATCAAATTTCAACACAAAAACTTATTGCATTTGCCTTGCAATCAACCTAACTACAAAAAAAAAAAAAAAAAAAAAAAAAAAATTCAATTTAAAAAATACCAAAAATACTACGTTTCAACCTCGTGAACTTGTAGTCTCTTCTGGAGCTCGTTCACACCTTGGTAAGTCGAAAAAAAATACAAAACAAAAAAAAAACAAAAAATTTCAAACTTGCAAGGAAACACAGGCGTAAGAAAATACCAAAAAAAAATACTTATTGTCATTTTTTTTTGGCCTGAGTCTCGTAGACGCCAACAATTTTGGTTTCGTTATCCATCTTTAGTTTTACATTCAACGTCATCTAACTGCATCGAGTTTTTCAGTTCTCTTATTCCACATAAGCATCATGCATCTCAAAACCTTCCAATATACAAGAGTTTCTTTCAAAACATAGTATTTCTTCTGTTTGACTTTTCTTTTTGTTTTTTTTTTTTTTTTATGAAATCCAAAAAGTCTCGCTATACCTTCCTTATTAGAAGAAACGTTTTCACGCGCGCTTGAAAGTTACAGCAGAAAAAATGATTAAAAAATACTGTTTCAGTATTTTCTTATCTACATTTATGTCAACTGGAATTCCATAAATTTTTGACATTGATTTGTTGTCTAGTTTCTTTTGGAATTTTCTGCTGTGGCCTTTAATTCGAGACGCTCCGCTCCACATCCTGTGCTCAGCCCAATGCATTTCACCACGAATTTGCTGTTTGTTAATACTCATTTCTCACTCATCCTCAATGAACAGCATTTGACGCATTTCAAAGTACCCAAACAAGTTTACAATTCATTGATGTAAATATAATAAATCCCAAGCCAAATTAAATATGCCAGCAAAAAATATAATTAAAGCCAAAATCAAGGGAAAACATATCAGAAATATATATTTTTTTTATTTTATTTTCTTTTTTTTTTCCATTACTCACACGCATTTTATGCTCTTCAAAGGGATTCCATTAAAAGGCATATTTCCATATACACATTTTTTATCTTTATATATATATATTTATATATATACAGGGCCATATACAAAAAGTAAAAAAAAGAAACTGAAAATGAAAAAACGCAACTGCAAGAGAAAAATTATATTATGGATATAATCCAACTATATATTTGTATTTGTATTTGTATTTGTATTTGTATTCGTATTCGTATTTGTATGTGTTATGTGTACGTGTCTATGTGTATTTAGTTGGTTATTCACTTTGGTTACGCCCACAGCCCTAGCCCAGCCCGCCCCCTCTCTCACTCTCTCACACATTCTGTCTCTCTCTCTCTCTCATTTTATGATTAACAACTATTAACACGCATACTAACAGCTCCAAACAACAACGAAAACAACAACAACAACAGCAACAACAGATTCCAAAGATACATCACAAGCAATGTCATTCGATTATTATTTCGATTATTTGTGTTATCGATACATTATCAGTTTATATAGCATGAGCATACATTCGATCGTGTATTTGTTGAATTTATGGTTTATGAATCAGTCACTCGCTCGCAACACCAAAAAAAAAAAAAAAAAAACTATCCAACTATCTCTCTCTGCCTCTCTATCTCTCTCTCTCTCCCACTCTTTCGTGTCACTCGTTACCACAACAACAAAAAAGTTCACCATCAAACTAAGCGAATTTCTTTGCCATTCCACCAAATCCAATTGTTTTTACCGTTTGGTTCTTCATTTGGTTTTCGACTCATCTAGTTTGTTCTTTCGTTTTCGTTTTCGTTTTCGCTTATCGTTTTCTCACATATTGTGTCACTCCACCCACGCCACC